ATAATTTCCGAGCGTCGCCCGGAGAAAAGCTGTTCGCTCGGCAATGCCGCCTTTTCGCGGAAACGATAAGACGCTCAGCGTGTAGTCGAAGAGAGCGCAGGGCGCGATCTTTGCTTGCAGTACACGACGCCCAGAGAAAAGACGATACGTGACAGTGCATGTGCATGTAGACGCTCACAAGTGATATGCATTCGCGAATCGATCCTCGTTCACGGCAAACGCCGTTGTTATTTGCTGCGCGCGCCTCGGCCAGTCGTGACGTCAGCGCAAGCACGACGCCGCTTCCGCTGGGCGCGATTGCTGTCATCTCCGCAAAGGACAGCTTTTGCATTGCTTCGGCCATCGGGCTCTGGCGACGTTTCATCTTCCGACTTTTTTCGCCGAGCTATTTAGCCGGTTGCTCCAGTCGCGAATACAATTTCGGAGCAGTACAAGAAAGAACCATTCTCTTCAAAATTAACCGATGATCCGATGAAATAAGCTGCGACCTCTGACTCGACCCTTTGAAAAACGAGTATAAATAAATATTGGCAGCGTTTTCGCAATGGCTTCCAAGAACTACGAGACCGCGCGATCGCGAGCAACACGATTTTCTACTTTATTCCAAGTAGCTTTTAAGTAGCTGCATTACCAACGGAATGCGATTTATCGTCGATCCTACCTTTTATTTTTTGTAAAGAAAGGCGTTTATCCATTCGGCAGCGGGTAAGGTACTATCGGAGCGTCGATGTATTGCTATTCGTATGATTGGACGAATTTTCGGATTTCTTCGACGTTGCCTCTTTCAAATTCAACTTTCTAGGGGAAAATTCCAATGAAATAATAATGATGTATTCTCTCCGAAGACAGAAGAGGCGACGCCTCGCACAGCAAACTTTCCACGTTTGACGCACGAACTTTATCGTCTAGCCGTCCCGAGTAGCCAAGGATAAATGCATATCGCGACTATCCCCCCGGTTGGCCTAATCAATATGCGAGACTGCTGGCGCTGCCGTTGTGGAATGGAAAGTGAAATGCAGAAACTCAAACAAAATGTAGAAAGTGTTAATAAACTAGGCGCGTTGTCACGATCGCACACTCGACAACAATAATACGCTTTATCGCGCGAATGATATATACGCGTTGCATCGCGCACAAAGAAAGTTTTTCAGTGCGCTCGGCCAAGGCGCTAGCGTTAGCGGACTTTGCGCTTTATTGTCGGGTTTGCGATCTTCATTGAAAGTTGAGTTCAGCTGAGCATTGCTGCAAGTTCATTGAGCGTTTGAGCGAAAGACATTTTTAAGGATCAATCAGTGAAACCCTAACAGAGTCAGATTGTGATATTTACACGGCGTTTTTTTCAACTTTTACAAGCTTTTTGTGACGGTCTACCACCCGAATAATCTAGGTGAACGATGTTTTAAAGGTATGCACTGTTTTGGACATACTTGGGTTCTATCGTCAGTGATAGAGTACATACGCACAACAATTTGTACTTCTCAAGATTCCGGGTTACAATCGTTACAATTTAGGTTGGAATCGTCAATTGCTTTTGTTTCCATTTCGTCAGTGTTAAATTTTGCAAATAAGCGTGAATGAACGAATGCCAGCATGTTATGGAAATTCCCTATGAAAATAACTCTGAACAATTAGGCGAAAGGCACAACCTTCAGCCGAAGTTGCCAACTCGGAGCCAAAAAGCTCGAGTCTTCTCGAGGAAACGATCGCACCTCAGTCTCTTGATTTCCCTGAATCGGTCTGTAGCGAAGCATTTTTGGCTCAGAGTCGCACTGCAACGAGCTAATAATACCCCGGGCGAGTCTCTCTCTCTCTCTCTCACTCGCCCACGCGGTACAAACTTGCCAGACGTCGTCGTCGCGACGTAGTTTTAGTATCTCCGCGGACGCTGGACCCAAGAGTTCGGTCTTTTCCTGTCCCTCGTCTTCCCTTTTCTTTCAGTGTTTGTCCTGTCGAACCTTTTCCCCTGCACCCATTATCAGCAATGAGTCTGTAGATTTCTTCGAAAAAATGTCTCCTGAGCACATTCGAAAGCATTTTTGCTGACTGTCCATTGAAAAACAGACAAACAAGCGCGTGTAAATAAATCTCGGCTGTTCTGTTTGTCGGGCAGCTCTTGTCAATTATCAGAAAAGTGTGCGTGAGATCAGCCTTCGCAACGGATAACGACAAGAGCAAAAGCCTCGGAGCCGTTGGAGATACGGCGCCTAGGGTACCAACGCCGCCACCACTACCATCGCCACCGATTCCCCGCTCGATTAGGTACGTAGCAGCGCGCGCCCATGTGCGCGCGTGGAGGATAGCCTTTAAATTCCACGGCGAGCAGCTGAAACTTGATCTTGGACAGGAAGCGAGAGCGTGGCGGCAAAGACAGCTGTTTCGGCGCTGTTTACCTGTCGAATCTGCGACGGTTGCACTCAGAGCGCGGGAAACGTTCGCGTCTTTTCACCCCGCGAATAGCTTCTTTACTGATACTTCTCAATTTTATCAATCGTGAAATGGTCTGTGCTCGAAAGTTGTAACACCAGATTACGTCCCAACGACTGGTGGGGAGAGTGTGCCAGCGTTTCACATTAGCTCGCTCGAAACAATGCGTAGCTCGATCGTAAAATTGTCCGCGTAGAGCAGTCGATACTTCATGCATCAGTCGGAGACGCGAGACGACTCGACGAACGTTCGATGACCCTTACGCAACTGATTGTAATATTGTTCGATTCTGCAAATAGTTGGATAGGTTTCTCTATGTTGACGCACCTCGCGTTTGCTACCTTTGTTCGTGGAGCTATGTACCGACGCCTCCGAGAAGCGCCATTCAAAGCCCCAATCGCACGCGTTGTCACAAGTCGACTAAACAAAATCAATGGGCCGTCGGACGACGCTCGTCCGTTGCGCAACCATTAGATAATTTCGTGCGGCGCGCTTCGTCAAAGTCGAGAAGCGTTTGCTCGGAGTGAAATCGGTCTGTCAACGCGGCTGCGCTGAAACGCGCGAAGATGTCTACGTAACCAGTTTATAAGTCCTCTTTCAACGGCCGCAGACCAGCGTACGTGCGCGAGTTTGCGCGTACAGTGTTATTGCGTTGCTTCTAGCTTCTGCCTATCTTTTATCAGAGGAAATTCAATTATGCGGCGCGGTCGGCCGCAAGTGCAGCAAGCTCGCTGATGACGACCCTATTATTGCGATTGTTGATGAAAGTGGGCTCGAGTTAACGCGTCGTAAGCGCTTGAGAATTTAGTAGTCGAGGTCAATGTCAATAATTTTTTCTCAAGTTTCAGAACATTATTGTAACATTAGCTGCTATCCGGTAGAGGGAAGACTGTGTTTTTAACAGTACTGCTTGAAAAAATATTCTGGATAGAATATAGACTTAATCGATTGCTAGAAGATTTAAAGTTGAATTTGATTAATTTTATGCCACTTACTTCGGCCTCTTGTAGATCGTACTCGTTACATTTGGCGTATTCTTACAATTCGAATCGACCAAACGTAAAGCGTACAACAATACGATAAGCACAACTCATAAATGTATCCTTTAAAACAGGTGATCGGAGACAGACCAGCAAACCCCTTCAAAATCAGTTGCAATCGGTCGTTATACGTATGTCCGCTGCACTTGATAAAACGTACATAGGCAGGGATAATTCGCTGTGACCGGTCTTCATAACAGTACTATTGATAATGAGAATGTAACGAGGCGTCGCTCGTCGTCGTTTCTCTATTCATAGTCCACCCATGAAGCGTAGTAAGCCAACATGACGATGCGCTTTTCGGATTTCCGGTCTGTGCGTCGCGCAACGCGCGCGCCTAATTATTTATTTACTCCTTTGAACTAGAGTCCAGCAACGACGACGACGCGCCGTTTATAAAACATCGGCGATAAAGAAAGAAAAAATAAGCGTGACCGGTTTTTTTTTCTTCTCTATCATCGTATTGGAATGCGCGACGAGCGAGGCGGCGCTGCTGCTGCTGTCACCGCCGCCGCTCTACTCAACGTATATTAAAGTGTGATGTGTGTGTGCGTATGTGTGTGTGTGTGTCGCGCAGTTGTTATAATAGCGTCTAATGGAAATTCCACGAGACGAGCTTGGAATTCGAAAATATCGATTATTCCTTCGAAGCGGACCTTCGCTTTTCTTTGTCGGTTCTTCGGCAACCTTTGCGGAAGTGATCGCGTGCTTTAACCACATGTACAGTTGCATTGCACTTGAACCCTATCAAAACGTGCGAGGATGTGTACGCGCGCGTTCATCGACTGATATTCCAGCCGCTGCCAAACTTCTTCCTCAAACGCTCGATGAAAGATTCATGTGCTGTAGCGGTCGCGAGTTAACTCGCGAGGCTCGTTCACCGAGTAATTTGGCAGAGTTTGTCGCGAATGCGTGATGTATTGCCACACTTCCGTAATTTCTGGAAATAATACCGACGAAATTTTTCGAAGCATTAACTTCGTCCTGGAAGTCAAAGCAATCAGAGCGTATGGTTGAGCGGCAGCTACTATGAGCAATTATTCTGGAAAAGGTGTGCAAGTGAAGATTGACGATTTTTACTGTTCTGCGCATTCTCAAGCTGGTTTTCGCTTACTGAAGCAGGAGCGCGCAAAAGATACCGATATTACCTAATTTGTTTACCTCGCAGTTGATTGCCCTAGCGGTACATTTCATCCAACTCGCGCGACGATGAATCATCTCTATTTGCTATTTTTGTTTTTTATTGTTCGTCAGTATTGCAGATATGATGCGAATTTCTCGAGTATGCGACAATTGATTAAGCAAAGTTCGACGTCAAATTGCGGGCGGAGAGTCTTCGTAGCTCCAAAGGGAATGCCGGCTGAGCTCGGTTGCCTTTTGATAAAACCGCTGATTGGCGCCAATGAAAGCTTATCGAAAGGAATCAAAGAAATCGAAAGTGGCGGCATGACGAAACGATTCGTTTGAAAATTCACTCGAAAGAATGGCACGGTCGGTAAGAAAAAAGAGTTGTAATTACTGATTGTTTTGTTGCAGCCTAAGCGAATGTTACTTCGCGGGGAAAGGCGCGGCATTGGTGCTGCCACCGAACGAGCGTGCTCGACCATCAAGGCGCGTCTCGGCAGCCGGCTGCGACATCCAACAACATCTACAGTCCATGTTCTACCTGCTTCGACCCGAAGAGACCCTCAAAATGGTTAGTATGCGATTATACACTTTTTCCGAAGTATCGCTCGGTGAAATATTGATGAAGCAGCAGCAGTCAATTGATCGCCTCATTCGATCATCAGTATGCCTTTCGTTCTACTTGTGGATTTAGGAGAGCCGCTTCGGTAATCGATACTTCAAAATCGGATCAATAATTAGTTTGCAGCTCACCTTCACCGGCAAACCCCTGCCACTTTCTGTGCGATCCCCGCCTCTTTTTTTTTATGATTTTGTCGCTTGTTTTACGTGCGCATGAAAGAGCAGAGCCTCTATTAGATATTCGCGATTTGATTTTATGTATCCTCGTCGATCGCCGATTAATCAGTGGTATTTACGTTGGCAAACGAAAAGCATACTCGATTTCGCGGTCGAGCTATAATCGATCATCGTTAGTCTGGCGAACGCTCGAGGAGCGTGGTGCAGCGTTTCGTCGGATTTTCACCTGTCTTCGTGTTACGCTAATAGATCTGGTTTGAAGTGCACGCAGCCGAACGCACAGCGACGACAGCAGTAAACGAACGCAACGAACGATCCCGCGAAGCGAACAAGCGAGCGCGTGCCAGAGCTTTGGTCTGAGCACAGCATATCCACAAGCACTTTCGCCGCACGACCTTGGTGGATTTTCGTGGAGATTTCGTGGAGGTTTCGTGGAGATTTATCCGACTATAATTGCACTCGCGCCTTTGTCAATTGTGTAATAACGGCCTTGGCGTCTCGCGCTCTAACTGGCAGTTCCGCGATGACTATCAACGCGCATGCAAATCTTAAACACACACGTAAAATATATCTGTAAGAAACTCGACCGGTTGAACGTTGCTGCTGCTCGCGTTGTTATCGACCTTGAGCTAGGAGCTCTACGCCAATTAGAAAGCACTCACCTCATACAGCCTGAATTAGTTTTTCCGAGCGATCGAGTGGCCGGAGATGCAAGCGATAACGCTCGGGGGTTTAAGATAGAAGATAACGAAAATTCTTGTCCTTGATTGTTGCTCGGAGCTAGTCTATGGGCAGCAAGTCCATTTACAGATAGGCATTTTTATATTTGACGCGAAAATTGAAAACAGAACGCCGAAGGAGCTTTTCTAACACTCCGGTTATCAATTGAACGCTTCCATAAAGGATCCGAGATAAACATCTAGGAGATTGTTATAGAAAAACGGTAGCTCGCCGAGGTTTACGCAACCTCTTAACACGATTCTAAAATCCGTGGAATTATCATGTAACCTATCAACCGTATTCACATGGTCTGGCGAGAGCGCGAGATTCTATATAGATTGTTATGTGCCCCGCGGGAAAGAAACACACACGTCTACGTAGACATATACGTGTACGGCCGAACGTCGCTCCACATTCAAATAAAGACATTTTCCACGCGCGGCATCGTCGTGGGATCGGCTAACAAGCTCAAGTATGTTGCAACAGCGAGTTATTGAAAATCTAATATCTTCATTAAGCTCGGCCATCCGTGTGATCGCTTGAATAAAGAGGCGACGAGCATAGCCGTGTAATATACATAGGTTGATTTGCCTGTGTCCCCGTGCTCGCAGCCTCGCTCACTTGCGTGCCTGTTCGTCTCCTGCGCTTGATATCTGCTACTGGTGCGTGCGCATGCTGATTGCCGCGCAAAACTTTTGCAATCTTACGTAAATTATTTCGCAATTATTCGGCTCCCTCGGGGATAATAAAAGTCCGTCGAAAAGAAAAAAACGAATGCGTTGTTCGACTGCCGATGCTTAATGTTCGAATCGCATGCTGGCTACCTGCTGCACTTGCGACTCGCTTGGAAAATAAAAGCTGGACTTTTTTTGCTCGTCTTAATTGTTGTATTATTTCGAGTGTCTGGCTATGTACACTTGATTGTGCCTTATTTCCACGAGTTCTCTTCACAGCTTCAATCGAGTTTAATTTTTCGAAATTATCTCGAAGGACACATCAGTTTTTCTTATTATTGCTGCTATACGTAGTTGTAGAAAAAGTTTGACTTTTTCCTACTCGAATGTTTTGAAAATAGTCGTTTGGATGATAATATTCATTTTTTTTTCTTCGTTTATCAATAAATAATCTTCTCTTGCGCATTTCGCTAACAGCTTACATCGAGAGAGTCGTATGACATGTTCATACTTCACTAATTTTTGTTTACGCATTTTCGTATTAATCTTCGAACGTTTATAATCGTAACTTACAGTTCAGAAATAGCGGGCAAGCTTGGCAATGTTGAATAATTTATGCAAAGAAGATTAATTTCATTTTTCAGATAAAAATATAACATGATAGAAATATTCATGCAATTGTTTTGGTTATTTACGACAGCATCTATCTTAGTTTGATCTGTACCAACAAGCAAAATACTCACACATTAATGTTATTAATATAACTTTTTCTTGCACACTACAAGAGCATTTATTTCTAAGCTTGTTCGCGTGAAAAGATTAATTTAAAGGTCTCGATATCATTTACCGCGGCTTGGCTTAAAGGTCAGTTCCGAGGGTCAACGCGTCCACATACTCACGTTGCCATATATGACGCTGTCTCTCTCGCTCTGATAATACTTGGCTTTTGCCACGGCACTATATAATCGCAGGTAAGAAAGGAAAAGAGAGACGAAGAGGTCCGCGAGAGAGCGGAGTTATTTATGCGTCGCGCGGAAAAAGAAATTAATTTATTGGCCAGTCGCACGTTGCGGAATACCTTTGGACGTGTCTCGCGCGCACAAGAGAGAGAGAGAGAGAGAGAGAGAGAGAGAGAGAGAGAGAAATTTTCTAGAAAAGTCCCCGATGAACGACAATAGCAAGAAAAAAGAATCGTAGACCGGGCGCTATCAGCAGCAAAAATCTATCTAATAGCGCCTGGCAGTTGTGAACTTTCATGGACTAACCTACATTTTTTATCTCGATTGCTTTTGATTTGTTAACGAGTTGACGTGTTGCGGGGGGAAAGACGCTTGGCTTATCTAGAAACTGTAATTGCAAAGGAGCAAACGTTAATTATCCATACGGAATTGAACTCGAGCCACTTAATCACGAAACTTGAAGTTACTAAGTTCACGAGTACTCCTTCGGAGTTGGAGAAACAGAGCATAAGTAAGTTGCCCTCTTTAGTCCTCAGTCGTTGGACTTTCATTTCAAAGTTTGGCGGAAATTAGAGAGTTTACGCGAGACGGTAACGGTGAAAAAAAGTTGTAGTAGCGTGCTCGGCATCTCGTATAAATGCAGCATACGTGACGTGCATTTTGTGCTCCTTATGCGCGAGAACGACGTATGAATACATTTCCGCGGAGATTTTCAAAATATATACATACAAGATGAAAATGAATGGCTTGCAAGATCGCGTATTTGTTGTAGTTCAGGCTTGGATTTTTTCGTGTCTAATTGTTGATTTTGTTGTGTGTTACAGGTGAGTTATGAGATCTGTTTGTCGACCAAACTGCGCTGGCTTTTCCTCTCGTTGTGAGTTTTTATTGCATGCGTATCATACTTTGCGCTGCTAAGTGTTTCCATCATAAACACGAGCTGAAAGTTTCCACTTGCTTATGTAAACCTGGCAATCTGAAATTTTAGTGAATTGTACGAAATCAAACGTTTCATTGGTATCGATAAGCGAATCGAAGGTCACAGAAGACCGATAACAAAACACATAATATCTAACAAGCTAAGAAAGAATAAACGGTGTGATGGGACAAAGTGGCAAAGATAAGGTATTTCACGAAGCACCCGTAAATCACAGGTATCGGCAGCAGCAGCACGGCACGCGGGTATATATAAGTGTCGTCCTTTGGAGACGCGACGCGACCCACTTGCACGGGCGCGAAAGATGACGGCTTCTTGCCTCAGGCAAGGAAGTAGCAATGAAAGTTCACGATTTCCGCTACTTGTGCCCGGCACGAAGCAGCAACAGCATCATCATCGCATCCACCCATCGAGCTGACGTGTTCATTACATAGCCACGACGGCCAAACAAATAAATAAATAGACCGATCTTTATCGAGATCTTTATACGCTCGTTTATCGATCTTTGAGCTACTGCGAATAAACAACCGGTTGTGGACTTTGCATTCCAAATTATTCATTACTATAGGCTACACAGACCTGTGTAATACTAATTAATTAAGCAAGTGTGTGTTGCTGCATTGTTTCGCTTCAACTCGGAAAAAAGATTTCTTAACAGATGCGTGTTGTTCGGATTTTCACCTGTCCTGTCTCCCCTTCCACTTTTTATCACTGGTTTTTCTTCTCTTGAAAAATGTTGTGTTCAGTAATTATCGCAACGAAAATTTCGTGAAGCTCATTAACCAAGAACGTGGTGAAAAGGCTTGCTCGCTGTAAAAAAACATTGGAAAATCTAAGAGTAAATGAAGAAATAAAAATAAGAGGGAAATTACCGTCAACCGTTAGCATGTTGGCGTTGTCTAGCTCCTGCACAGGTCTCATTTCAAAAGAGCCTCGCGGGTAACAACAACAACAACAACAACAACAACAAAAATAATGATGATGATGATGATAATAACCAGGAGAGGTTTTCATTATGCATCGGCGCGACCCACTTTCGAATGCTGCCCTTGGTCCATGAGGGAAGAAGAGGAAAAAAGTGGACATTATTGCGGGAGTTCAGTTTGTCTTTCTCGCTTTACTTCAATCGGGTCAAGGCTGCTGCTGCTGTTGCTGCTTCTGAGCGAAGCCGCGGTGTCGAGAAAATGCCTCCGGTATAGTGCTACACGCTGAGAGCGCGTGTATGTAAGCGTATTGTTCGCTACTGGGCATTTTCTTTGCTAATATACCGTTGCAAATTGGCCTTGATGTTGCCAATAATCGTACATTGCTATTTTTATGAAAGTTGCTCGGCCTTTCGGGCATTTCAATTTGATGGTTAAAGAGGCGTTGGCCGTGGTTTGGCAGTTGATAATTTTTCGTAATTGATAAAGAGGTTTGAGTGGATAATGATCAACGTAGCTTATTGAAAATAATTAATAAAATTTTTAATTCAACCTTGATT